GCCTGCAGCTCAATCTGCTCCTGAACCGGACGGTTTGTGCAGAGCTGAGCGGGACACATGTGGCGTGGAAGCCACCGGAGCAGTGTCTGTGCTGGTTCAGGAGACAGACAGGAACAGGTGGTGGAGGCAGGGGGGCCTGAAGGCGTCTCAGAGTGTGCCTGGTGCGATTCTCATCAGAATGCAGGGCAGCAGACAGAGGATTAGAGACGTGTCCGCTGATCCCCAGCCGCTCAACATTCCTGTGGGTCCTTAATGGCCTGAACCGAGTGATTCCAACTGTCCCCTCTGGCTTGATTTGGAACCTAACATTTACTGAGCTCTTGACGTTCACTCTTGAACATTTCCCTTTTGCTTCAGATTTGCTCGTACAATGGTGCAGAGCACTAATCCCAGTGAGCATGAAGAGTTGGGACCTGCTCTAAGCTTAGTCGCATGAAATTGCAACCAGCCTCGGTCCACACCGTGAATTATTGTTCTTAAGGAACAGAACTGTGTGTCTCACACTTCTGGGGGCTGAAGTTAAAGCCGGAAGTGCTGGCTTATTGAGTTTCTGGCTGACAGATGGTGGCCTTCCACTTCTTCAGGTGCAGAGACAAAGCAAGTGAGCTCTCTGGGGTCTCATTTTGTAAGGACAATAACAATACAGAATCAGGGCCCCAGTATTATGAGTTTAGTACTGTAGCACTGTCCTCCCATTGTTTATTGATTTGCTTGAGTGGGCACCAGTAACCTCTCCATTGTGAGAATTGTTACTATTTTTGGCATATCGAATATGCCACAGGGAGCTTACCAGTTTATCTATGAATTTATCTAAGCTTAATTACATCCTTATAGGTCCTTCTCTTCTAATAGTCTTATCACAGGTCAGAGCTTGAACACAGGAATTTTTGGAGATAGAATTATGTCAGTTTTGCCACTGTCCTCTATTTTATACAAGATTTAATCAGGATAAAAGGAGGTGAAAAGTTTCTGAATGCAAACCAGGGTCTTTGGACTCAGATACTTACATTTTAAACCACTACATTATGTTGTTGCTGTATATGTTATACACACATGTATTCACAGGTATAAACACATACAAACATATAATGAAATATATACAATTTGGTTTATTATTCACAAACACATAATAATAGTGGTTGAGGTAACAACTTTAGTGACTGAAGCAAAATACTCGACTCAATGGAAAGATAGTGGCAACAAGGAAATCTTTATCCTTGTAAGGGTAAAGATCCCACTGAGGGGTTTGAAGGGTTTGCATGTTGAGGCACAGGACAGTTGGGGGAAAAGGAGTCCATGACTGCATGCAGAATTGAAATTTGCAGGGAAACCAAACTGGACAAGAAGTCAGGACCTCTAGTTCACAGCTCAATCTACTGGGTGAAGTTTGAAGAAGTTACAGAAGTTACTGACTTTGTCTCTCTGTCTCTGTCTCTGTCTGTCTCTGTCTCTGTCTCTGTCTCTGTCTCTGTCTCTGTCTCTCTCTCTCTCTCTCTCTCTCTCCTCCTTCTTCTTCCTGTCTTCAATTGCATCCACACACAGTCCCACATGACCATGACGTGGTCACTGCCAATTTTTCAGCTTTATCTCCAACCTTTCCATTTCTTTTTTCATTCCTCAGACTTACAGATCCAACCATGGTTCTTCCCCTCCACAAACATCAGCTTGTTTATACCCTTGGTACAGCTCCCAGTACAACCCCGGCCCATGTCTGTGTAGCTGCTTTACATCCTCCTCCTCCCCTGGACTGAAGCTTCCTGGCCCCACCACCCAAAAGACCCTCTGTACCAGTGACTCCTTGTGGACTTTCACATCAGCCAGTTTTATTTTCTGACATTATTTGAATTAATAATGTATTTAATTGCTTAGTTTCTACCTTCCTAACTTCTCTCACTTGAATAAAAGTTGTCCATCAAAGAAACTTTCTCAAATTCAGTTTGCTGATACTATAGCAGTCAAGTCATCTGGTCAGTGAATGGGAGGTTGTAGTTAGAAATAAAAGAACATAACCAAAAAAAAAAAAAAGAACATAAGCATTCCATTCCTAGAGGAATATTTCTTCAATTCTAGCCACAGGCAAAGCATTATCGCACTCTAATATGTTCCTGGAGGTTAAAATTAGAATCTCAAGAATATCGATAATCAACTCTCTTTTATTATACCTAAGGAATGTCTAACAAGTATTTTCAATGATCTGGAAATTTTTCCCTGAGTTTTTCCATTATATTTAATCTAATATTCTCACCTCACTGACAGTGAAATATTAAAGGTTATGAACCAATACAGGCAAATAGACTATGGGAGCAAACTATATAGAATTTAAATTCCAATCCTATCATTAAATGACAGAATTGTTACCTTCTCAGAGTCTTTTGCTATTGTTTAAAACAGAAAAGATGTCATAGATTATCCAGAAGTGTTCTGATAACAACCCGAAAGCAACTTTAATAATGTCTGGAACTTTTTCATGCTTAAGAAGCAAAAATTATCTCTGTTATTTTTCACATCACGGCACATTTTCGACTGATTCACTAACCAGTTAATATGGATCACATTTTCTAACTAGTTAATATGGATCACAGAATTATTAAATACTGAACTAATGAAACAATTTTTATCAGAAAAATTATATTTACAATAATAATAATAATAGACATAAAAAAGAAAGCAGCCTTAATTGACCAAGAAGAAAAAATTTTAGGAAAATTAATATATTGATCAATGGAATGTTACTGAAAGAGAAGTTAAGAATCTGCACTCTAACATTGAAAATAGGCATGATATCTTATTAAATGTCAGTTAGCAAGTGCTCCATTCTATACTTGCAAAAAACCTGTTGATTTCAGACTTCCTATTAAGGAAAACAGTAGGAGCAGGACAAAAAGCAGAACACATCTATTTGCAAGTACTGAAAAATCTGTCAAGGCAGCCGGGCCATGAGGGTTTCATAATGCTGTTAGACAAAGTTACCGCAAATTTAGTGCTTTCAATGGCATCAATTTCTTATCTCATAACCAGGAGATTGGACATTTGAAATTGTCTCATTGACTAAAACTAAGATGTAGGCAGGCCTCCATTCCTTATGGAGCTCTTGAGGAGAATTTGTTTATGTGCTTTCTGGGGCCTCGAGAGAAGTGCTTCTCACTGGTTGTTCTGTGGATTGGTGTCAACCCACAGAAATTTCCAGCTAGTTGTGAAAAATCTCCTGCTATTTCACATAGTAGTTTTCCACCGCTTGGTGCTGGTCCACAGGTGTAGACACTCGGAACCCATTGCTATAGAGGAAACACACTTCCTCAGTGCTGGCATTTTCAATTATTTCTCTGGGTCTGATTCATCAGACTCTTTCTTTTACTTCCAGGCATCTTGGTGACCACATTAGTCCTGCAAGCATAATCTAGAGGTATCTCTCCATCCCTGCGTGAGATGACCAGCAAACTTGTTTCCACATAAAGCCTGAATTCCTTGTTTCCATAAGATACAACATATTCAGTTTCCAAAGATTAAGATAAGGCCTTTTTGAGGCTTATTATTCTGCTTGCCATAGGGAGTCGGGCTTGCAGAGAGCCACAAACTGAGTGAGTGTGACATTCTGTGGTTTTGACACATCAGAGATTAATAGATTAGGGGGCTAGGAGGTGACCAAACCAAACATAAAGAGGAGGCTGAGAGGCTGGAAACTTAAATAGAGCTTTTCTCATTTTATGAGACCAGAATAACCCCATTCCCAAAATTCAAAGAGGAGGGAGTGTAAGAAAGGGAAATTAGAGATAAATTTCTTTTAATAACACAGATACAGATATTCTAAACAAAACATTAGCAAGCAAATCCCAATGATTAGCACCTTTTTGAGATAGATTAAACAAAAAATCATTTTACCACTTGTCAACAGTATCATAAAAGTCTCAGAGGTCTAAGGGAAAGGAAAGAAATCAGTTTAAGTACCAAAGAGAAAGAAGTAGAACTTTTGCTACTCATAGATTATGATTATATATGTAGAAAATTCAAAATAATTTACAAATGACTAGTATTAGTGAATTTAGTAAGATTACTGCACACAAAGTAAATATAAAAATCAATTGCACAGTTAGCCAATGATACCTGTTCAAGTTGTATCATTTACAATAACATAAAACAACAACAAACAACTCTGCCAAGGGAACAGAGATTGTAGAGCAGACACCTGGGTTTGATTCCTGGAACCACATGGCCCCCCAGGCACTATTGGCTGTGGTGCTGGAAGCCCCCAGCACTGCTGGAGTGTTCCAGTCTCCCCATCACTGAGAAGACAGAGGACAGCATCATATCCTCAGACCCTTGTGCTGAACGTAAGGCTCGGTTGGCTGTGAATCATTGGTGGGGTCCCCAGATCTCCTAATCACCATTTAGAGGTTCCCCTTCTTCCACAAAAACACTTCCAAATATACTGGATTATGCAACAAAAGATATGCCTCTATATAGAAAAACTATAAAGTGCAATAGAGAAAATCAAAGATAGATATTACGTGCATAGCTTTGAATACTGATTTTATACAAGTATTGGCACTTCCAGATTAGATATAAACTTTTAATATCATCCCAAACATAATCTCAGTTTTGGTTTTGTTTGTTTTTGACCCATATCTGATGGTGCTCAGGGCCTACTCATGGGTCTGCACTCAGGGATGACTCCTAGTGGTGCCTAGGGAAACCACATATGACCGCCAGGATTGAATTGAGCTTGGCTGCAAGCAAGGCAAGTGACTTATTTCTATTCTATCTCTTTGGCCCGATGTAGATATTTTCAGTATTGACAAATTGGGTTCAAAACTCTAAAGGGAAATTAAAAGCCAACAGAAACCATAATAATCTTTTAGAAACTCCAACTGCTGTTCTTTGTGGAAAGTGGAGCCACAGAAGACATGATTTGATTGGGGATGAGGTCAGTCATGCCTTTCCTGTATCGGACTTCGGTTTCAAGCTTTGTCTCCCATTTCCATGTGTCACGAAGGGTCTCCTACCTGACAGAAGTCACCCACTTGCCGCACATAACCAGCCACCTCTTTATCAGTTTTAAAGATCTTCCAAACTTTCCTGCCCGCCCGCTTGTATTTTTTGGCTCCTTTCCAGTCCATTGCCATCAGAGAGTTCTCTGTAAGGGGCGCTGCCACAATGATGTCCAGTTGGCCGTTGTAGATTAGAACCTGAAATGAAATGGGAACAGGAATTAGTGTAGGATTCCACAGGGGAAGCCAGTGTGCTAGTGGGTGGGTGGGGGGAGGGATGGAGAGAGAGGGCCTGGGGCACGTCTGTGTTTCTGACATTTTCTTCCAGGGGTCACATACACCAGCCTGAAATAAACCCAGGGCTGGTCTCAACCATTGCCATCCTTCCCGAAGCTATGCTATTTGTAGGAATCTGCAGAAAGGTCTCATGAGGTTGGGGAAGCATTTGGGAAGATATAGGTTGTAGCTGGATGCACAGACAGATGCACAGACCTCTTGGACTGTGGTTACATTGAGTAAAGCTCAGGATGGCTGTATACTTGGTTGCACAATTGAAACCCAAGCAAAAAAATTTGTAAATCTACAACTGTACTTCATGGTGTTTCACTAACAAAAATTTTTAAAAAAATGTAAATGATGGAGAATGGGCACTGGTGGAGGGATGGGTACTGGATCATTGTATAACTGAAACCCAAGCACAAAAATTTGTAAGTCTACAACTGTACCTCACTGTGTTTCACTAATAAAACTTTTTTTAAAAAGCCTGCATTCCACTAATTCTTTTTAGGCACCTCAGTAGCTGACAAACTGGGAATTCCCTTGATGTCTTTCATTCATATTTGCTCTCTCCTTCTGCATACATTTCAGAAGCGAGTTACTGAAGAATGCAGACACATGCAAGTGTCTCTGATGTGTGACTTGGTAACTATATTTTTAAGGCCACTTTCAGTAGCTTCTGTTTTTGTTTAATTTAATTTTGTGTTTTGGGGTCACACCTGGCAGTGCTCAGGGCTTATTCCTGGCTCTGTGCTCAGAGATCACTCCTGCTAGGGCTTGGGGTAGCAGGGTTCAACTGGGCTTAGCCACATGGAAGACAGGTCTTACGTGTTTTACTATCTCTTTGGCCCTGAGCCTCTTTTCTTAAATAGGAAAGCCACTTATCATGGAGATGAGTCCCTCCCTCCCCACCAAGTTGATGGATACTATAGAGAAAATAAGTTGATGGGGAAATAATTTTGCAATTGTAGAAGGTACTTATATCTTCTCTCCCAAATTGATTTTCAATTTGCTTGGCAAAGAATTAAGATAATAATGCTTACAAAGTTGTGAAAATGCCATTTAGAATAAAATGTTAATTCTCTTTGGGAAGGCAATGGTTAATTTCTAACACAAAGACTAAAATGTTACTTGGTTCAGAAATCCTGATTTTTGAAACTTTCTGAAAACAAGCCTACAGAAAATTTTAAATTATATAACTCTTTTAAATCTTATTATAATAAAAAGTTTGAGCACAATCTAAAAGTTCCATAATTAATCAGAGGTAATGGAACATGAGCCTGGAGTCCAAGGTCACAGAGTTCCGCTTGCCTGGTTCTGTGGGGCTTCACTCGTGTGTGAGTCTCGGACCGAGCATCCAAGAAGCATCCTGAAGCGTGGCAGCGGCTGGGTAGTGGAGGTAGTGGAGGAGGTAATCAGAGGTAAGATTAAATTAACAACCACTTGATCATTTGATCACTTGACATCCCCTTATGGGTGGGCACCAGTAACATCTCCGTTCATCCCTGTCACGCACTAGTGTAGCCCAATGGCACCTGCTCTCTCCAGGAACACGAAGAGCCTCAAACCGATCATTCAGGGTCTTGATGAAGAAGTTTGACCATCTTGTAGATGGGCGGCCATGCAATCTTTTGATGCCCCGTGGAATCCAGACGGTAATGGCTCCAGTCCAGCGGTCTCCAAATCGCATTACGTGTCCAGCCCATCTGATTTTTCGATGCCTTGGCAAACAAGACAGCATCCTTGATTCTTGATCGTCGATGGAGGTTTGAACCGGATTCTTTCTCTCACTTGAGTGAAGCATGATACTCCAAGCATAGCTCTTTCGATTCCTCTTTGGGAGACCCAAATAGCGTTCTCATCCTGTTTTCATAGGGCCCAGGTCTCTGAGGCGTATGTTAATGCAGGAAGAACAGTGGAATCAAAGAGATGTGTTCTTTGACTGAAGCCGAAGGTTCTTTGTCCTCTTAGCTATTTCTTTGATGCTCTTGAAGGTGTTCTAAGCCACTCTCTTCCTCCTGCACAACTCAGGTGCCAGGTCATTCATTATGTGTACCTCGACCTAGGTACACATAACTGTTGCATTCGGAGATGTTCATTCCATTGAGAGAGAATGGAACGTCAGGAACTAGTCCGTTTCTCATAAACATTGTCTTCATGAGATTCAGCTGTAGTCTGATCTTTCCACACTCACAGTCGAAGTCGGCCAGAATTTGTGCAGCTTGGCTAATGTTTGGTGTTATTAGAACGATGTCATCAATGAAGTGGAGGTGGTGTAGTTGCTGACCATCTATCTTCACTCCCATTCCTTCCCATTCCAGTTGTCTCATGACGTTCTAGAGGATGGCTCTGAAAAGTTTTGGTGAAATGGTATCACCCTGCTGAACCCCTCTCTTAACATGGATGATCACTTCCTTGTAGAATGGTGAGATCCTGGTAGTGATTCCATAATATAGCTCACAAAGGATTCTGATATATTGAGTTTGAATGCCCTGTTTGACTAGGGCTTCGATGACTGCTTCAGTTTCAATAGAATCAAAGGCCTTCTTTAAATCAATGAACATTAGACAGAGCAGCATCTTGAACTCCATTGAGAATCCTCAATGTACTTGGTTACCATGTGGATATGGACGATATCACTGAACCCGGCTTGCTCACATGGTTGTCCTTCATCTAGTGTTCTGACAATCCTATTCAGGATGACTCAAGTGAATAGCTTGTAGACGACAGACAATAGGAAGATTGGGTGATAGTTGCCAATGTTGTGGATGTCTCCCTTCTTGTACTATAGAACAGTCCTGCTGGTTTTCCATTGGGACGGAACCTTGCATTCAGATGGGTAGCATGTGAAGAGTCAAGCTAGTGTATTGATGAGTACTGACGGCAGGTTCTTCAGGTGTTTGGGTCTGACCTTGTCTGGGCCGGGTACTATTCCCTTCTTTACCAACGAAATGGCATGTTGGATTTTGGAAAGGATAATGTTCGGAATGACATATCCATCCTGCATTAACAATGTTACTAGAATTTTATAATATTGTCAAACCACTGAAAATATCTAGGAATTTCATACAGGTATTCATAAATGAGATTAGTTTATAGTTTTCTTCTCCTTTCTTGCTCTGTCCGTGAAATCTGAGGGAGCTGCTCATCTTTTTCTTTACTAGAGAATCACTAATTTTTTATAATTTGAGTGTCTGAAAGTAGTCATGCATAAAGTGCTTACCTTTTCAAAATAAATCAAAATATATGATTGAGTCGCAAAGTCATGTACAAAATGCTTATCATAATCATGCTAAAGATGAAAGTCTTTTAAAGATGAAAATATATATATATGCATTTTAGTGTGTGAACACCCAATCATCACATTCATGAACTGAACTAGAAAAGGATCCTGCACAGCATTTTAACTTTTTTTTAAAATTTAGTTTTAATTTAGTTCAGGATCGGGTTTAAGTCATACAATGTTCTTTTATAGATATGATCAATGTATAAAATGCGCACATATTAATCTATAAGGAATAAATATTTCAAAAATGAATATAACTGATCAATTTAGGTGGCAACATTTTGAATCATTTACCCCATTTGTTTTCTATTCTTCATAGGCTATTTTTCTTTCTTACACCTCACATGATATTAATTCTCACAAGGTAAACTAACACAAAGATTTTCCTTAACTCCCTCCACGCCACCTTTGATCTATTTGGAGGCTCTGGATTGGCCCCAGGGAAGACCTTTGGTTGACTCCTTCAATTGGATATAAAATATGTCACTTGCATATGTTTCCCTCTCTGCCATCCTGCTATAGGCTTCTTAAAAGGCTTACACATAATTAAAAAGCCAAGGACTTTTACACACTCTAAATCCTCAAGCAGCAGTGGGCCAGGGCTCAGCCTGAGATGAAAGAGCCCAGGGCCTCTGCTGCAGGAACAGGGGGTCTTTCATGTTTCCCAGTCCTGCTCTCACCACCTCACTCTGCTCAACAGAAACCCGAAGGGAAAAGACCTGATCGATGTAAAAAAAAAAAAACAACCCTCAACCCAAATACAAAATTTGCATTGTTTATAGAGAGAAATTGTCTCAAAGACTTTGAGTCCTTATGGGCCAAACAAAACTCCTACAGCTGTTTTGCCGAGAGTATGGAAACAATTATAAATGATCTGTACCAGTGAACAAGGCTTATATACTTTACCATTCTAGGAAGACCTGATTATAGCTGATTAACAGAGATAATCATCTTTAAAGTAATTCCGCTTCTAGAATTCAGTGAAAAGATCTGATTAACAAGCAAATGCACCACAGTATCTGGTCATGCCCCACCCCCACCCCACCATGGCCACTACACAAACAAAGTTTGCATCTTTCTGAGCCTCTTGTTGCTATCTTACAAGTACCATTGAACTTAAAATTGATCTGAATTTTTCGTCTTTAAAGGATGACAGTAAAATACACAGAATACAGCAAAAGTTGGCTTGTATGTAAAGCATTAGAGTGCATATTTGTTGAACAGAATTGAAATGAAGCCCATCTATGAGATGTTTCCTTTGTTATCCAAGATTCATTATAAACAACACTAATTCTCTGGAATAAGATAATAAAGAATGGAGCTGCATAATTTTGGGCATGTGCTATACAGAAAGCCTGTTTTGGGGGCAAATGGAACTCTTTCCTTCGCGAACTGAGGAAAATACCTTTGATTTCTAAGTCAAATACAATAAAAAAAAAAGGAAGTTGGATTCATAACTGTTTTCCAAGCAGTTACTTAAGACTGCCAGCATCAATTATAGAAATTTCAGAGCTTTTATTTTAATCTAAACAACCCATTTACTCTCATCTTCCCCCATAGGGATGTTCAGGTGTTTCTACAGCTGGGTGAGGATGTGAGATATCCCAGGACGCAGAGGCAGCTGGGAACATAGTGT